GTTCACTGCGGAGTTCCCACAGCTTTTATAATGTCTGGCACAGAAGGGTCACTTAGCACAGGGATGAGATGGAGAATGTGGGAGCCAGCCACTCTTTCCCTCCTTTCCTGGATGCTTTCTCCTCCTTTACCTATCTAGGTATCCCCTTCGAGGACCAGGCTAATGCTGCCTCTGCAGAGAAGCCCCCCGGGCCATCCTATCTACGATGGTGTGCTCTGGCTATTCACTGTGTGTGTGCGCGTGCGAGTGTCAGGAGCTGAATTTAGGATGTTGCTAGGCAGGGGTTCTACCACTGAGCCACGCCCCCAGCCCCTCACTGGGGGATTCTAGGCAGGGGCTCTACCACTGAGCCACACCCCAGCCCCTCCCTCACTGGGGAATTCTAGGCAAGAGCTCTATCACTAAGCCACACCCCAGCCACTCGGATGCATTTTAGGCCGGTGCTCTACCACTCATCCACCCCTGCCCCAGCTCCTCACTGGTAAATTCTAGGTATTCTACCCTTGAACTCCATACCCAGCTCCTTTCAATCTTTTGCTCCAAACTGTGTCTGTGCGCGCACGTGCATGCACGTGCGTGTGCATCACGTGTGTGTGTGTGTGTGTGTGTGTGTGTGTGTGTGTGTGTGTGAGCCAGAGGACAACCAGAAGGGTGCCATCCATGACAGTGTGTGTCCATTTCCTTTGAGATAGGCTGTCTCTTTGGCCTGGACCTCACGAATCAGGCTAGACTCACTGAACAGTGAACCCCAGAGATCCTCTATTTCTCTAGCTTCATCACACCTGGACATGTGACTTCTGGAGATTAGAGTCAGGCCCTCATGCCTCTGAGTTAAGCACTTCACCAACCGAGCTATCTCCCCTGCACAACCTTTTATTATTGACTTGGGTTCTAAGCCATCCGGGTTGGCTGGCGTTGCACTTCTGTGTCTCCTGCCTTGACTTCCTCAGTAGCAGGCCTGCACTCCAAGCAGCTGCCACCACTTTCTGTCAAGGCTCCTCACTGACATCTGAAATTCCTGTCTTCGCGTGACTCCTCCCTCCCTCCCTCTCTCTGTGCGCTGCCCACACACCAGAATATGGTAAGCTCTAGGAGGGCCAGCATTTTCTGCTTTGTTCAATGTAGGGTCTCTGACCTAGAGTTTAGAATGCTTAGCACGGGAACGCCAAGGAGCATGCGTGAGCGGCCCTCTTTTCTTCTCTGATGGGCTGGTCCTGTCCCAGGTGGTCTAGCAGAAAGCGGAGTCTAAGACCTGGCTCCTCTTCACGAGACTGCTTGAATTCCAAGGGACATGTCCTCTGTGTGTGTGTGTGTGTGTGCGCGCGCGCGCACGCACACACACACACACGCACGCGGGGGGAGCGGTTCTTGATTTCTAGATGGGGTCACTTAGGTGAGATATAAACTGTCTGTGATCTGAAGGACTTAAAGATGTACCCAGCCTCCTTGAGAGGGTTTGAGGATCTGAGTAGTTACACGAGTGCAGGCAACTTACCAGTAGCTACACCACTGAGTAAAGTGTCTCTCTCTCTCTCCCTCCCTCTACTCATTAATTGCCTATGCTCAGGGCGGAGTGGGAGCTTGAGTCATCAGCCCAACACCACCCACACAGTGCTTATAAATAAATCCAGGGACTCTCGACTCTCTGACCTCAAGGACTGGTAGGTACCTAGTGACGATTAAAAAGAAATGATTTGTATATGTCCGTGGGTTTGTGCAATGCTCACGGAGGCCCCAAGAGGATACTGGATCCTCTGGAGCTTGGTTACAAGTGGTTGGTTATGAGCAAGCTGATGGTGCTAGGGACTGGACTCTGGTCCCCCGGCGGTATGCATTTTTAACTGTTGGGCCGGCTTTCTAGGTCCTGGGGAACATAAAAGGGAGAGAGTCCCCACCACCCTGAAACCCAAGACAAGCAAACAAGACAGTAGTGATTGACAGAATGAGGTTTATTGGAGTCCCAGAGATATTGGGGAGACCAGGGGGTGAGGTTGAGGCTCATGGGGGAAGAGACCCCTAGCCAAGTCCCCCTTTCCTCTTGGGGTTGGAACACAGAGACAAGGCAGTAGCAATGGAAAGACCGACAGGTACTACAGCTGACGGGGAGGGAAACCCCAGCCTACCACCTCCACCAGGTCACAGGGCTGGGACAACCGTGGACGGAGGACTGCGCTCTACGGCGTAGGGAAACGTCTGCCCTATTACTCTAAGGAGAGCGGAGCAGGCCACGACCTGCACCGGCCTGTTCCAAGTGCTCAGGAGTATGTGCATCCGGCTCAGCCCAACCTATAGGGCAGGGATGGAGGCTTTGGGCTAGCCTAATCTAGTGTTCAGGACGGGGATCGACAGGTAGGGTCGGACCACTCTGCACGAAGGGAGACCTAATCTGAGAGTAGGTTAACTGGAGGTGAGGACCGCTACCCTGATCCTCTTTCGGCATAGGAAGTAAAATGGGGGAAAGGCAGATCTGGCTATAATCATTCTCTGGGGCTACCAGTGGCCATCTGGAGGGGCTCCTGAAGATTCCAAGATGTTGCCCCCCCTCCCCCGTCCCCCAGATGGAGGTCGTTGGGAATGATGGCTCTCAGGAAGTGGGTGTTTGGTCTGTGGGGGTGCCCACATGTTATCTGCTGAGAGGTGTTAGTGGAGACCCGTTTTTTTCATCCCTGGGTCCCCAGTTGATCTGAGCCTGCCTGCATTCCAGGGGTCTCAAGGTCGAGAGAGTCTCTGTAGATTTCAGTCCCCAACAATTATGTCCTTGGACCCCTTTGCTGAAAGATGCTTC